AAACAAGGTCCTCCACCGAGAACTGCTCAACAGCCTGTAATAAACCATAATGGAAAAGGATACGGAAAAGTATATAGACATCTGAATCACTCTGCTGTATACCAGAAACTAATACAACACTGCAAATCAATTATGCTTCAATAAAATATTTTTTAAAAATTTGAAAAGTTGTTTGACAGCACATAGGTCTGGTAGGTAACATGGTTTGATAGAAGCAGATCAAAAGTAACCTGCACCATTTGGCTGCTTTCCACCACTTCACTGTCTCTTGCTACATAATTTCCCAGTTATAAAGAGATAAATTTGTTACCAACTAACAATAATTTAAGACATCTTTTGAGGGGACTTCCTTGGTGACCCAGTGGCTAAGACTCTGTGGCTCTCAACGCAGGGGGCCGAGATGTGATCAGGGAACTAGATCCCACGTGCTGCAACTGAGAGAGCTGACAGGTTGTGACTAAAGATCCCACACGCCACAGTGAAGACGGAAAACCTGGTCTGCTGCAACTAAAACCGGTGCAGCCAAACAATAAATAAAAATAAATATGAAAAAATACTTTCAGTTTTTAATAAAATAAAACATCTTTTGGGAATCCCTTGGCAGTCCAGTGGTTAGGACTCGGCTCTTTCATTGCCGGGAACCTGAGTTCAATCCCTAATCAGGGAACTAAGAAATTGTAAGCTGTGTAGTTCAGCAAAAAAAAGTTTTTTTAATTAAAAAAAATAAAATAAAAATGTCTTTTAAAAGATATGAGCTACTAAAGATAACTGGTAATTTTGGGCCTAAAACTGAATGTATCTTCCAGCACCTAAAGATCGTTCTTTAAACTAATGCATGTGGCTGCATCAGGTCTTAGCTGCCGAATGCAGGATCTTTTGTTGCTGTGCACGGGCTTCTCTCCAGTTGTGGCATGAGGGCTAAGTTGCTCCAGTTTACATGGGATCTTAGCTCCTGGACCAGGGATTGAACCCAGGGCCCCTGCATTGCCAGGCATATTCTTAACCACTTGACTATTAGGGAAGTCCCTAAAGATCTTTTTAAAGTAGGACATAGATGGACATGAACGCTTTACCCAGTCATTCACTCAACAAATTTAACTGCAGGGGTCTACTCCATGTAGGAAAACAGAGAAAACAGAAAAGACATCCAATTCTAAGGGAGCTTTGTTTCTAGAAGAGATAGAGAATTACAAATTGAGAAAAGTTCTACAAAGGCAAAGTACAGGATGCTATAAAAACGTATAATGGGGAAAACTGATCTAAACTGGGAAATCAAAGAAGGATACGCTGAGAAGTGATGCTTAAGCAGGAATCTGAGTGGCGGCATTCACATTTATGCTAAAACAGATCTCCATAAAATCAGAGTTGGTACAATAAGCCCAGTACCTTGGCATCTTTATCCTAAAACCTCTTTTTTTAAAAAAAGGAAACCAAAGTATGCCATAAAGAAAGCTAGCAGCTGAAAGTTCTTGGGTAGAAGGGTAGGGTCTCATCATCTTTGGGTATCCCACATTACCTTGCCGAGTAGAATTATCCTCATAGCAGTCACTTAAATCTTCACTGAAACAATGAGTTTACCCTCAGTATTAAATCAGTGTCCATATTATTTTTAATTCAGCAAAATAAATTTACAAAACTAGATGTTTTCACACAAGAAACCTTACTGGGAACTTTGATTCTGAAAAGAAATGATGCTTTTATCTACCTCACAGGATTGTAAGATTCAATAAGCTTACACAGTGCAAAATGCTGGGGTAAATTCTGAAGAGCCTGAAGTATATGGTTATCTGTGCAACCAAAAAGCTAGATCAGTCTCTTCTCACTAAGACAGCTGTTTAGATTCAGTTGTGCTTCTTTGTCATGAATTTTTTACCTCGAGAAAAAAACTGATTCATAGTTTGCACATCCTCTGTAGCCCTGGCTTTCTCCAAAGGGCTGCGACTCCATAAACTGAAGGTCCCTTTCAGCTCCAGCAACTGACCTGTGTCTTCCCAGGGCCAAGACTACACTCCTTACCTTAGGTCTCTGACTATCTCCTCATCCACTCTAATTCCCCAGGACTCCACACCTGCTTCCAGAACTGACAGGACAGAGTTCACCATTTAAGGTTTTTAAAAGACCTAGTTTTGCAGCAGCGTGCATGGGCCTAGGGAATATTACACTTAGTGACATAAGTCAGAAAAAGACAAATACTGTATGCCATCTCACATTACATGTGGAATCTAAAAACTCATACAGATGAACATCTATGTAAAACGTAAACAGACTCACAGAGAAAACAAGCCAGCAGTCACCAAAGGGAAGAGGGAAGGCAGAGGGGCAAGTCACGGGGACAGGAGGGGCAGAGACGATGCGCGGCGCCAACAAGGACCAAGGGCGTGCTGCGAGGCACCGGGGACACGGCCGTCCGCGGGCGCTTCTAACGCAACGCGATCTGTGAAACGCCGGTCACCATGCCTTACACCTGGAACTGATATTATACTATGAGCCAACTATACTTTAATCACATGAAGGACCGACTGTCAGATTTAAGTTGAATGTATTCATCAAATTTAAATCTTCTAAATGACATAAATGATCTTATTGTTGTAAAACTTTATATGCCCCAAAGGAAAAAATTTTTAAAGAGTTAAAACAACAAAATGTCAAAAACCGATTTATAACTCCTAATCCCAAAAAGTAAAATTTGAAGTTTTTAAATTAAGGTTTAATTCACCTTTAATTAAGGTTTTTTAATTAAGGAAAAGTATCTGCTATGTTTTAAAATCAGAAAACAGAGTCATAAAAACAATCAGTTATGCTCAGAAATAACAGAAAATAAATGCAAACTCATTCATGGACATGATTTTTTTTTTTAAATTACAGTGGCTAGAAAAGAGCTTAAATGTCCAACATATAATGCAAATGTATCCACAAGATATTACCACATGAAAATGAAATTTTACAGAAAAGTTAATGTGCTCAAGTAAATTACACAGCTGAAGGCTCATTTACATGTCTAAGATTTGTCTTGTTTAAAATTATTTTTTGAAAAAAATAAATAAAATCATTTTTTGGTGTAGTTTTGAAAAGATCTTGTAGTTTATCCTTCATTGAGTAGGACTAAAAGTAGGCACCGTTATGATACTTCCAGGCAAGAGACCTATTTTTATGATGCAAACCAGAGCTATCAGGTACAGATACAGTTTGCCACTAAAATGCTTCAGAAATAGCATATTTTAGAAGAAAAAAAAATTTTTAAAGGTAATGTCTACACTAGTAACAATATATTTGGCTTTTAGGCACTTTAAAATTTTTTTGTAAATCAATTTAATAACTTAAAATTCTAAACTATTTTCAGAGAAAAAGCTGACCCTTTCAGTCACTGCATCAATGTCAAGATAAACGCTCCTGTTTCACAGATGCTCTTAACGCTTGTTTGAACTGTATTTCACATCTACTGAATGTTTCGGGCCTTTAAAGTTCATTGTAGTCACAATGCTAAAAATCACAACAGCTGTACTACAATACTCTCTTTTAAAGAGCTGCAGATAGAAGTTAAGAAACTCGTCAAAGGTCACCCAATAAGTCAGTGACAAAGTTGAGGGTATGACTAAAAACTTCAACTCCCAGACTACTAACTACTTCAGACTTCCAATTCTGTGAGAACAAAGTCAAGAGATTTACCTGCAGTAATTTATAACAGGATACCTCAAACACAGTAGTATACTTAGCACAGACACTAACAGAAAGGCTCACCTAGAACAAATGAGACAACTTGCTCTATCTAGATACCACTGCCACATTCCTAGATCTTGTAACCAAGCAAACCCCACTGCTTCTGGATACAGTATATCCTGGGAAACGTTCACCCTTCAATACATACAATTTATTTTCACACTAACTGACCATTGATAAATTAATCTGTTAACACCTTTTCCCACGCCCAGGTGCTGGCGGGGGCGGGGGTGGGGTGGGGTGGGGCTGGTGAGGGCATTAATTTCCTCGTTTTTCCAAGAGTCAACTCCCAGACGGCGTATCTCAAAAGTAAGCAGTCCTCAATGAGAACACAGTTACGTAGCCAACGAAAGAAAAGTTCTAATAAGTTCCTTCTTTCAAAGAGATACTTTAAGAGGATGATTACATGCTTGCCAGAATTACTGTTAAAATCGCCCGCCCAGAATAATGGTTCTTGTGAGGCAGCTTTTAAGGTATATCCCTCCCTTGCTGGGCACATACAGTCTGACTTGTTGGACGAGGATGGATCTGGGCACGCTCCTACAGCATCCCTAGGAAGCAGCTCAGTTCACTGAAAACATCTCCTCCACTCCCAAGTGTGGTCCTCATTCCGTTCCATACTGTAAGGGACAAGATGACCCCTCCCTTAACAATCTCTCAGAAGGAAGGTTCCCTCCGCGGAGACAAGTTGACAGCCGGCCTCCCTCGGATGATTTTTTTTTGGAAACGGCCAAGTGTTAACAGCAGAAGAGGCTCCTAGTGAGCGGCGGTGCGGCAGCAGGTGAAGTGGCCCTTGGTGCCAAGCCGGTCCATTTCTGACCGAGTCCTCCGCCTCCCAGCCGGGTTCCGCCTTACAAATCTGCCCCCAGCCGCCCCTGGTCTCTCACCCAGAGCCGGACTCGCAACCCGCCCCGGGAGGCGAGGCGGCCCAAGCCGCGACCAGACGGCCACCCCACCTCTTCCGGGGACTCGCAGGCCCGGCTCCCCGGCCGTGTCAGAACCTGACAAACCCTGCCGGAGGGGCGGCAGCCGGCCCCACACGTTGCCGGGGGCCTCCCAGCCGGAGCCCCGCACCCGCGGCCCCTCTCCACCGCCCCCGCCGCCGCCACTCTCCTCCTCCCGAATCCCCTCTTCCTCAGGAGCACTCCGGTGGAGTTACCGGCCCACTCCAAAGTGAGAGCGGTGGCCACCCCGGTGGCCACCCCGGCCTCCCGCTGTCACCGCCCTGCCCCCGACCTCTGCCCACGCCGGGGCGAAGTCCCGCTGACGCCCCCGGTCGGTACCTTGCGGACCCCCTTGTAGATATAGAAGTAGAGCTCCCGGCCCACATTGAAGCAGAGGCGGTCGCCGTTACCAGACTGGTCGTTGAGGTTTACGAAGGAGACGCGGACAGGGTTAGAGCCCTGCGAGTTGAAGGGCACCCGGTTGGGCCGGCTGTACTCCGAGTGCGGCAGCAGCTTGTACAGACCTTCCCGGGTGGTGAACTGGGTCTTAATCTCGTTCATCTCCTTCCCTCCTCCCTCCGTCGCCATCTTGGAAAGCAGCGTTCATCCTGCCCTAAGTGCCCGGATCACGCCCACCGCGCAGGCGCCGTCCCCGGACTCTCGCTCTTTCCTCCCTCCCCCCCGCACGCCCCCGCCCCTTCGTTCTGGCCCCTCCCACCCGCGAGCCGGCCCCACGGAGGCTGGCGAGGAGAAGGGGCGGGCTTGTTTACGGCCCGACTGCGCAGGCGTGCTCACCTGGCGCCCTCCACGCGGCGGGGCGTCCGCAGGCTCCTCCCCCCGCCGGGCGCGGCCTCGGCGCGACCCCAGAAGCGCGCAGGTGTTGCGGTGCGGGGTAGGGGCCGGTGGGCTGACGGTACTGAGCGGGCTAGCGAAAGCCGCGGCCGGGCTGAGGTTGGCGGCGCTGAGGGAAACTCGGGCCCTGCCCTGAGGGGTCCCGAGACCTTTAGGGGCTGAGGAGGGAGCCGCTTCAGCAGCCGGCAATTCCGGGTCGGCGCGTGGGGTGCGGCGAACAAGCGCGGAATCCCCAGTGTTCTGACCTAGGGGAGGGCGCGGGGGAGCCCCGAGGCTGGGAGGGGCGGGCCCTCTGTCCTGATCCTCCGCTAGGCTGCCCCGCGCGACCGTCTGGATGCGCGAGTCAGGAAGCCCCTCTGCGCTTCCCAGAGTCCGTTTCCGAGAAGGTACTGAAGGACCTCGGCTTGCCGCTTCATCTTTTTTTTTCTTTTTCTTTTTTTAGACGGATTGGCGGGGAGAGGACGTATAGATACGTAACATCTGTGTTTGGTAGTCAAATACCTGCATACCTATCTGTGGTGAGCATTGGCTAATTTCAGGAAAGCCGGTTGTGTCGGCGCTTCTGTTTCTTAAGTTTGTCTCCCCCAGGTGTTTAGAGAAAAGGGGAGGGGTCGGGTCGGGGAAATGACTTTGGGAACCGGATACTGAATCGAAGCAGGATTCCCTTTTGCTCCACAGTTTATTAAGAGCTCTCCATAAAGTTGGAGGCTGTTGATATTTGTATCAGGCTCAAGTGGAATCTGCAGAATGGTTTACTCCGCGTAGTTGTGGGGATATACTGTACTCGGTCTCGATTGTAAAGCAGGCACGCGGATTAAACCATCACCCTTTTATCCCTGGGTTTCTTAGCATTGCACTAGAGTAAGAGAGTTTCTCGAGTGATAAACATTCTGATAGACTTTCGCGGAGTTGGAGTGCGAGGCCAATATTTGTTACACCAACAGTGTTCTGTTCCCTCAGTACAAATCATAGATGGAGGGTCACAAAAGAAGTAGAGGGAGGTATGTTGTAAAGGGGAGTTTAAATCATAAACATTTTATGTATCACAATGCAAGCAGATGCCAGTGCAGACGGCGTCACTGATGTAATAATGCGTTTGACGCTGACATCCCGTAGCCGACGTGCATGTTGGCAGAAAAGCTCTAGAGTAAAATCGTACTTAAAGAATTGATTCCTAAAACACCTAAAATTCTGTGTTACAATTGTTTTGATGTTATGTCTTCTGCTAAAAGTCAGGTATCAGAAGTCTTTATAAATGCCACAATGTATTCTAGTTCCCATGGATTTATCCCAATTTCCTATAACTATGTTATTTTACGTTGAAAATGTGTATAATCTCCTTGAAGGATAGTGACATCCTGAATCGTCTAAAAATAATTCAACTGTGTTCCTTAGTTACCACGGGCGGAGGGAATAATAATAATACTTGGAGAAGAAAAAAACCCTAAGCTAGCAGAAATTAACCCTCAAATTAACCACAACTTTCAATTACCAATAATACCTATAACCTTAGTGTTCTGTTAAGGTTTTATTCTATATAAATTTAACATTTGATTGTGATCACAGTAATATAGGTTGTTCACTTTGTCCCATCCAAATCCTTTGAAAAATTTGATAGTTTTCCTCTTTTCATTTACCCTGCTACACACTCAACTCAATAAATAACACCAAATTTATATAACTGGGCCTGACTGATTTTCAGTTTCAAACCAGGCATTCTTACATGGATTTGTGCCTCAGATTCATCAGCCTCTAAATCTTATCCATATCTTCAAAGTTGAGTCATTATAGCTTCTTGCATATAGCTTTCCTTAGCAATATACCTCTCCTTCATTTCACTTTTTTTTCCTCTCAGCTTTCCTGGAGTAGACAACTACCAAGATAATTTTCTTAAAACAATGCTTTAGGGAGGGGGGATCAGGATGGGGAATACATGTAAATCCATGGCTAATTCATGTCAATGTATGACAAAAATCACTACAATATTGTAAAGTAATTAGCCTCCAACTAATAAAAATTTTTAAAAAATGCTTTAGATACTACATTATTTTGCCCCCAGAACTCTCAATGACTTTGATTATCCATACTATTCTGTTTTGCATGACTCCTCCATTCCAGTCAAACTCTTCTGCCATCACCCTTAGCTCTTTGCCCTACCATGGGAAGATCTAGGTAGAGCTGACCAAGCAGAGGAAAAAAATCCCACAGGGCACCCACGGCAGGAGTGTGCACAGCGTGTGCAAGGGATAGCAAGACAGCCAGTGTGGCCAGAGCAGAGGGAGTGAGGAAGCCATCGCAGGCTTTAAGAATCCATCTGGGAAACTTCCTTCATGGTTCAGTGGTTAGGGCTCCGTACTCCCAATGGAGGGGACCTGGCTTCAATCCCTGATCGAAGAACTAAGATCCCGCATGCCATGGCCAAAAAAAAATTTCTTTAATTAATAAAAAAGAATCCATTTGCTTGCTGGTTTGAGAGTAGACTCAGGGAGACATGAGTGGACAGGGAGGCCGCTTCAGAGGCTAGCAGTAGTATTCCAGGCCAAGGATGATAGAGGCTTGGATGAGAAGTGGTGGCAGTTGAGGTTAAGAAAGACTAGAGAATCCTAGTTACATTCTGAAGGTAAATTCAATGGGATTTCCCAGCAGATAAGAGGTGACTTGTGGGAGATTTTGTGAAAGAGTCAAGAATGACCCCACGATAGGCAGCTGGAGGATGGAAATACCATGAACTGACATGAAAAGGCTGGTTAAGAGCAGGTTTTGAAAGGAGGATTAGGGTTTCCCTGGTGAATCAGTGGTAAAGAATTCACTTGCTGGTGCAGGGGACACAGGTTCAATCCCTGATCCGGGAAGATCCCACATGTTGCAGAACAACGAAGCCCATGAGCCACAAGTATCAAGTCTGTGCTCTCGAGTCCACAAGCCGCAATTACTGAGCCTGAGCACCAAAACTACTAAAGCCCGCACATCTAGAGCCTGAGCTCTGCAACAAGAGACGCCACTGCAGTGGGAACCCTGAGCACAGCCGCTGGACAGTGGCCTCTGCCGACTGCAACTGGAGAAAAGCCTGGGCGGCAACGAAGACCCAGGAAAATAAACAGAATTCTGAAAAAAAAAGGAAGACCAGGAGCTCAGTTTTGAGCATGTTGGGTGTGGCATGTCTATGAGGCGTTAATAGGAAATGTCCGGAGACAGTTGAATAATCGGGTCTGGATAGAAGTCTAGCCCACTGGCATGTGCATGTATTCATCAGTCCTTAGCTGATAGATGGCCTCTAAAGCCTGGATCCTGTCACCAAGGGAGTGAATGGGCACAGTGGGACAATCTAGGAGGTGGGAGAGAAGAGGAATATTTGTTGATGAAAAAGAGCATACTATTTTTTTTTTCAACTTAATACATAGGAGTATTCACTTTAGACCAAACATTGTTTTTTCCAACTCAGAGATTGGTTCATTAAGATGCTGAAAAAGCAGTGTTTTGTTTTGTTTTTTAACCTTGAAGAGAAGCAGTGTTTGCCACAGTGACCTTGGGCTTCTCAGCTTGCCCTGGTAAAGAACCTACTTGCCAGTGCAGGAGTCCCAAGAGATGCGGGTTCAATCCTCTGGGTCAGGAAGATTCCCTGGAGGAGGAAATGGCAACCCACACCAGTATTTTTGCCTAGAAAATTCCATGGACCGAGGAGCCTGGCAGGCTATGACTAGTCCATGGGGTTGCAAAGAGTCGGACATGACTGAGCTTGCATGCACAGTGACCTTATAAAGAAAAATGGGCACAGACAAGCGTCTTTAGAAACTACACTGGAGTTCTTTACTGACTCATTATATTCAGTAACCAATCTCTCAAATTTAGCTTGTTGATGAGCTTATTCTATTATTAATTACATCATGACTTGGTACGTTCTTATAACACTGTTATGGGAACGGAAAACAAATTTGGAAAACAACATGTAACATAGTGTCCTTAATACACCACTCCAACTTTGTATTTCAGATGTGCAGACTGGTTAAACTGACACACCGTTGGAATTGTTCAGTTATGATATGTACAAATTGATCTTGTGTAAAGCATCTTATTCTCTAAATAACCATTATCAAGTGGATGCGATACTTAATATTTCACACATGCTTTGCAACAAAAGTACTTTTTAAAGAGCTCTTTAGGGTTTTCTAAGGGGCTTCCCTCATGGCTCAGATGTTAAAGAATCTGCCTAGATGCAGGAGACTCAGATTCGATCCCTAGGTCGGGATGATCCCCTGGAGAAGGTGCTGAAGAAGACTCTTGAGAGTCCCTTGGTCTGCAAAGATATCAAACCAGTCAATCCTAAAGGAAATCAACCCTGAATATTCACTGGAAGGACATGCTGAAACTCCAATACTTTGACCACTTGAGCTGACTCATTGGAAAAGACCCTGATGCTGGAAAAGGCTGAGGGCAGAAGGAGAAGGGGTTGACAGAGGATGAAATGGTTAGATGGCATCACTGACTCAATGGACTTAAGTTTGAGCAAACTCTGGGAGATAATGAAGGACAGGGAAGTCTGGCACACCGCAATCTGTGGGATGGCAAAGAGTTGGACACGACTTAGTGACTGAACAACAGTGCCGCTTAAAGGAAGTGCCTACTCTGTGGGCATTTTGCCAAGTGCTCACACACACCCTGGTCTTCATGTACCACCTGGTGATGGAGGTACCCTTATCTCCTGTCCACACATGACAAAAGAGAGCAGTGAAGTGACTTGTCCAAATTACTACTCTACAATTAGGTATTAACAGAAACAAAACTTGAATTTAGATCTTAAAAGAGAAACATCTTGGAGTAAAGTAACAACAAAATATACTCATCTTTAAACCATACATTACTGAAGGGGGACGAATAGTTCTGATGAAGCAAACATGTATTTTTAAATTTAAAAAAAAGTTGAAGTATGGTTGATTTGCAATGTTGTGTTAATTTCTACTGTACACCAAAGTGATTCAGTTATATATGTATATGTATATATACATATACACATTCTTTTTATATTCATCTCTACTGTGGTTTATCACAGGATATTGAATATAAATCCCTGTGCTATACAGTAAGACCTTGTTGTTTATCCATTCTATGTATAATACTTTACATCTGCTAATCCCAAGCTTTCACTCCATCTTTCCCTCATTGCCCTCCCCCTTGACAGCCAGAACTCTGTTCTCTAGTAAACATGTATTTTTTTTTATTCAAAAGTTTTTTAAAAACTCAAAACTAGAAAACACAAGCCAGAAAATAGAAGAAAATACTTGCAAATCAGGTACCTGATAAGATAATTGTGTGTGTAATGTATAGACAACTCCTACAACTTAAAAAAAACCTAGCTTTTAAATGGGCGAAGGACTTGAATAGACATTTCTCCAAGAAGATATACAAGAAGGCCAGTAAGCACATGAAAAGATGCTCAACATCACTGTCATCAGACAAATGCAAATCAAAGCCACAGTGAGATCCCACTTCACACCCACTAGGATGGCTATGCTCAGTAAAATGTAATACCAGGGGATGAGTATGTGGAGAAATCCAAACCCGCATATCCTGCCGGTAGGAACAGAAAACAGCTCAACCACTTTGGAAAATAGTCTAGTGTTCCTCAAAAGTTTAAACAGTTACCAATGACCTAGCCATTCATGTCCACACAAAAACTTGTACATGAACGTACATAGCAGCATTAGTCATAATAGCCAAAAATTAGAAACAATCTGGATGTCCACTAACTGATAAATGGATAAACAAAATGTGGTGTATCCGTGCAGTCAGATTTTATTCAGCCACAAAAAGAAATGAGGTACCAATGTGTGCTATAGCATGGATGGACCTTGAGAACGTGCCGAGTGAAGAGGCTGACACAGAAGGCCACATGTCTTATGATTCCATTTATAGGAAATGTCAGGAAGAGGCAATTCTATAGAGACGGAAAATAGGTTAGTGGTTGCCTAGAGCTGGAAGGGGGAGGGGGAAGGAGGACTGGCTGCTAGTGGGTTTGGAGTCTTTTTAAGGTGACAAAAATTATTCTAACATTGCATAGTTGCCTAATTCTAAATATACTAAAACCCACTGAATTGTATACCCTTTATATGAGTAAGTTGTACGTGCTATTGAGTCAAAACTAGAGCAAGCTACACAAGGTCCAGTTTATTTTTCAAACAGCTACTAAATTATTAGGAATAAGTACATGTTAGGCTGTTTGGACTTAACCTAATAAACAGCCGTTAGGTGTTTTCTTCTAAGTGGTGACGGGTGTCGTAAAAAAATTGCTGATACACTCAGACTGAGAACCAAGCAAGTTTGGGAATCTCCACCATAAGGCACGAGCCTCCCCCAGTCTCCAAGTTGTACCTGCATTTTTCTCTCTGTGTGCCTCTCCTTTTCAAAACAAATTTCTTCCCCTTGCTCTTGTAGGGAGTCCCTCTTGTGTGCTCAGGACAGCATGCTTAATTTCCCTGGCTCCCAGGCATACTGCTGCCTCCACTGCCTCCTTCCCGGCAGTGTGAACTTGCTGAGCAAGGAATACTGGTCAACAGAAGTGCTCTTTTTCTCTGCTTAAAAACAAAACACTCTATCTAATGCCCAGTCTCTCAGCTCCCAGCCTTGAAGGACTCACAGCTATGTCCCCCGCCTTATATATATATTCAATTCCACCCATGCTATTTTAAATGTCTTAGACTCTCAGGATAAGACAGAAATGTGGATTTCAAACCATAGTAATGAAGAAAAAAATACAGGAAGAGAATGAGAGAATTGTTTGTCACAAGGCTGTGACATTCTCTTTGTCGCTCACAGACAGAACCAGCGGAATGATTTAAGGCATTCTTAGAACTGCACCCAAATTCGAGCATCAATTTTTTGCGGCTGGAGCTTGTGCTGGCTTTGTTTTTCATTATGAAACTCCTCCGATTGCAGGTTCAATGACAGCCTGCCCAAGCCGCCCAACAAACGTGTTTTATCTCTTAGAGATTAGAGCAAGGACATTCAAGCTTAATAGCCTCAATAACAATTTCTGATGTTTTCTGAGAACCTTAAACAGGAAAGAGAAAAGGAGATCGAAAAAAGAGTTGGTATGCTATCTGCAAAGAAAAAATTAACATGCTGCTAACTCATGATTGGAAGAACTTGTCAGTGACTCTTTGGAGAGCCTTGTCAACATTTTATCAGGCTGTTGAGAAGCAGCCAGCAAAGCCAGAGTGATTTCTAGCCATCAGCTGCTGTAAAGTAGTGGTTGGGAGCCTGTGGTAGGAAGTACGATGCATTTGTTGATTTAAAAATCTATGGGACTTCCCTAGTGGTCCAGTAGATAAGACTCTAAGTTCCCAATGCAGGGGTCACGGGTTTGATCCTTGATCAAGGAACTAAGATCCCATATGCCTCACAGTATGGCCTTAAAAAAAAAATTCATTTTGGGGAATTCCCTGGTGGTCCAGTGGGCAGGACTGTGCTTTCACTGCAGTGGCCCAGGTTTAAGCCATGGTTGGGGAGCTAAGATCCCACAAGCCTCACAGCATGGCCCTAAATCAGTAAAAATCCACTTTAGGAGTCACCGTTGGGTAAAGCAAAAATACAATTTATATTAAGAAAATCTAGTTTCAGACAGGATAGAGAGTATTCTCTGAAAGATTATTGTTAAGGACGGATATTCCTGTTATCCATTCAGTTAGACTCCGAGTTGACTGAGAGGACAAGCCATTCATTTTCCTCTTTAGAATGAGGAGGATCCCCTCTTCCTCATATAGCATGACGCACATACTCAATGAATTTCTAGCTTTCTCCATGCGTGCACGCTCAGTCACTAAGTCATGGCCAACTCTTTGTGAGTCTGTGGACCATAGCCCGCCAGGCTCCTCTGTCCATGGAAATTTCCGGGCAAGAATACTGGAGAGGGTTGCCATTTCCTTCTCCAGGAGATCTTCCCAACCCAGAGATCAAACTCTCATCTCCTGCGTTGGCAGGCGGGTTCTTTACACTGAGCCGCCTCGGAAGCCTTCTCCTTTTCCACCGTCCTCATATTTTTGTCTTTATTTTTTCTTTCTCTTCCTGGTGTTTTTTCGCTTACACACCTTCCCTCCCTGAGCTGTGATACTTGTAGTTCCTCATACCTGTCACACCTAAGCTTTCGTGCCTTTGCGCAAGCTGGAGTCCCTTCCTCCTCTGCTTCTTGGAGGGGATAGAAGGCCGCCTCGTCCTGTGAACCTTCGCTAGGAAACCGCCCCTGCCACGGTGTGCTCTCAGGTTTCAACTTAGAGGCTGCTTTCTCAGGGAGGCTTCCTAGATGCTGCAAATTGAAATTATGGCACCTGATTCTTTTCTGAAGGGCTTTCCAGGTGGCTCAGATGGTTAAGAATCTGCCTGCAATGCAGGAGATGTAGGTTCGATCCCTGGGTGGGAACGATCCCCTGGAGAAAGGAATGACAACCCACTCCAGTATTCTTGCCTGGAAAATTCCATGGACGGAGAAGCCTGGTGGGCTACTGTCCATGGGTCGCAAAGAGTTGGACACAACTGAGTGACTAACACACACACACAGATTGTTTTCTGCACATCGTTACATCCTTCAGATGCAGGGGCCCCCCACCTTCGGGATCTAATGCCTGATGGTCTGAGGTGGAGCTGATGTAGTAATAATAGAATAAAGTGCAAAGTAAATGTAACACACTTGAATCATCCCCAGACCATCCACCCCGTCCCCAGTCTGTGGAAAAACTGTCTTCCGTGAAGCCAGTCCCTGGTGCCAAAAAGGCCAGGGCCCACTGCTTTAGAGCACCTATCCCAATTTCTAATAATGCATCCACTCATATTTATGTGTTTACTCCTGGCTAGACTGTAGGCTGTTTGAAAACAGGGATGCTGTCTTCTTTATCCAGCATTTTGTGTCCAGGTTGGGTCCTCACACACAGGATGCACCCTGTGTAGATTTGCCAAGTGAATGACTCACCTACTTTGAGAAACATCCTCTAACTTTTAACACCTGATGGTAATACTTAACTTGATTATGACATTCATTACACTGCAGTCTCATCCCACCAGATAGTTAGCTACACATGACTGCAGCTCACGTGCTTGAAAACATGCTCATTCATGCTTTCTTTACCCCCAAGGTTAACCCTTACCCCCAAGGTTAAACTCTGCTTCAGGGCCTCATCGTGTGTGCTATCCGTTACCTCTGCTTCCAGCATCTCAAGGGAGATTCGGTCCTTTGTTTCCTTTCTGCGTATGGCTTTCAGGTGAATATCGATCATGCCCTTTGGGCCACTTCTCTCGCCTCAAAAAACAAAAGCAAAACCGTGTCCTGTTTTTGGAGAATAATCTTTCTTTAGGGTCACATTTCTATTTAGTAGGATAGAGTACTGAATTTGTCAGAGACGTTTTTTAACAGCATAAGAATTATCAACTGGATGCTTACTTAGATCTCTTTATTGGGATAAGAAAAGATTATGAACCAGAGCACTGAACAGTTTACTTTTCTTTTTACCGTATCTTTCTTGTATAGAATGATGCTTTTTATGTAACTGGGGCTCAGCAACCATTTAATGAATTGAATAGGTACCTGAAAAAGAGCATCAGGACTGAAGATCAAAGGACCTGATGTGAGTTCTACACTTGATCCCATCACTTAATATTGTATTGGAAGTGTTAGCCAGTACAGAACATAAAAGTCCAAGGTGAAACCATCATTAGTTATTATGATTACATGTTGAAAACCTAAGAGGATCAACTGAAAAAGTGAAGAAACAAGTGTAGCAGGTTATAAAGTGAATATTCAAACACCAGTAACTTTCTCATGTCAAAATAGTGTCTAATTTAAATATAGCAGAAGAGAATATCACACAGTAAGAAAGTAAGGTATAGAAAGGAACTCATGACGCAGTGAATAGGGACAGCAATCATTGACGTCAATGTGAATGGCGCCCCCTGGGGTTGAACTGTGCAAAGTCTCTGAATATATTCAGAAACTTTTCAGAACTACTTGCAGAATACTAATAAAACTCTATGAAGAAACTAAATAAAATAATTCAAGGTGAATACACCTTGTTCCTCTGTAAGAAGACTCACCAATGTAAAAATGCCAGTTCTTTCTGAATCGGTGTACGTACTGAATACAACCTAAATCAGCAGAATTTTCTTTAGGACTTGTCAGAATTAGGGACTTCCCTGGTGGTCCATCCGGTTCGATCCCTGGGTCGGGAAGATCCCCCAGAGAAGGGAAAGGCTACCCACTCCAGTACTGTGGCCTAGAGAATTCCATGGACTGCATGGCCCGTGAGGTCGCAAAGAGTCGGCCACGCCTGAGCGCCTTTCCCTCAGCTCCTTCCCTGGTGGTCCATCCGGTTCGATCCCTGGGTCGGGAAGATCCCCCAGAGAAGGGAAAGGCTACCCACTCCAGTACTGTGGCCTAGAGAATTCCATGGACTGCATGGTCCGTGAGCTCGCAAAGAGTCGGCCACGCCTGAGCGCCTTTCCCTCAGCTCCTTCCCTGGTGGTCCGTGGGTTAAGAAGCTGCCTTGCAATTACAATAGTGCAGGGGATGCAGGTTCGTTCCCTGATTGGGGAGCTAAGATCCCGCATGCTGCGGGGTAACTAAGCGTGCACACTGGCAGAGCCCTCGGGCCACAACTAGAGAGTCCATGCTCCTCAAGAGAAGATTGGCAGAGGTGCAGCGAAGATCCCATGTGATGCAACTAAGTCCTGATGCAGCCAAATAAATAATTTTTTTAAAAAGGGACTTGTCAAAATTGTTCTAAGTTTCACTTAGAAGAGTAAATAAGAATCACTCTGGAAAATTCTGAAAAAGAAGAGTGACTTTGGGGAGTGACTTGCGTTGCACTAAAGTGCATATTCAGTTCAGTTCAGCTCAGTCGCTCAGCCGTGTCCGACTCTCTGCCACCCCATGAACCGCAGCACACCAGGCCTCTCCGTCCATCACCTACCCCCGGAGTCCACCTGAACCCATGTCCATCGAGTCGATGATGCCATCCAACCATCTCATCCGCTGTCGTCCCCTTCTCCTCTTGCCCTCAATCCCTCCCAGCATCAGGGTCTTTTCCAATGAGTCAGCTCTTCACATCCAGTGGCCAAAGTATTGGAGTTTCAGCTTCAACATCAGTCCTTCCAATGAACACCCAGGACTGATCTCCTTTAGGCATATTAGTACATGTTTTGGAACCTCTTTAATTAAAACGTCAGTGGGGCTTCCCTGGTGGCTCAGTGGTAAAGAATCCGCCTGCCGGTGAAGGAGACACGGGTTCGATCCCTCGTGTGGGAAGATCCCACATGCTGTGAGCAGCTCAGCCCGTGTGCCACAGCTGCTGAACCTGTGCTCTGGAGCCTGGGGACTGCAGCTGCTGAAGCCCGCGTGCTCTAGAGCCAGTATGCTGCAATACCAGAAGCCACCTCCATAAGAAACTCTTGAGCCGCAACTGGAGGAAAAGCCTGCATAGCAAAATGACCCAGCACAGCCAGAAATAATTACATTAGTTTAAAAATCAATGAAGTGCAATAGAGCATTGAATTAGACTCCAATAAAAACAGACATGTGGTAAAGATGGGGTTAATTTAATAAAAGAGATTGGAATAATAAACTAGCCATTTAAATATGGATTCCTAATTCCTTTCTCAATCCAAAATAAGCTCCAGATGGATGAAAGACTTAAATTATAAAAATTAACCCAAGAGTCCAAAAAGAAACTACTTCAATAAATACTCATATTGGTAATCTTGAAATAGGGAAGGCTTTTCTAAATATAGCCCCAAACTCAGAAGGCTTAGGCTATTTTTATTCTATATTTTGCATGGTACAAAACACCATTTAAAAAGATAACAAACTTGGAAAAAATATTCATAACACATATGGCAAGGGGATCTTATCCCTAAAAATAAAAATGCTCCTTTAAATCAATAAGAAAGGAAAAATAATCATTTTTTGAATATGTAGGCAAAAGACATAAATAAGCAATTCACAAAGTTGCATTTATTAGACTTTTTATGACTTCTGAGTTTCTTGTCATACTTAGAAAAAACTTCTCCACTCTAAGATGCTCAGGTTTTCTAAGAATAAAAGAAATGCAAATTAAAACAGTGGGTTTTTTTTTTAATGTCACATTGGAAAATAAAAGTTATCAATTAAAAACTTGATAATAGGGCTTCCCTGGTGGCTCAGTGGTTAAGAATTGGGCGCCAGTGCAATCAGGGTTCGATCCCTGATCCAGGACGGTCCCACATGCCTCAGAGCAACTAAGCAAGCCCATGCTCTGGAGCCCAGGAGCCCCAACTGCTGAGTCCACGTGCTGCAACTATGGAAGCCTGTGCGTCTAGAGCCTGTGCTCAGCAGCAAGAGAATTCACCGCAATGAGAAGCCGTCACACCACACCTAGACAGTAGCCCCCACTGGACGCAGCTAGAGAAAAGCCTGTGCAGCGAGGAAGACCCAGCACAGCCCGAAATTTAAAAACAACAACAAAGAACTTGATAATAGTGTTGCCACAGATTTTTGCATTAGCAAAGCTATGAAATTGGCTCTTTCAGTCTCCATTGATTCGAGTGTGAAGTGCTATTATTTGGAGGGAAATTTGATAATCACTGTCAAAATACCTGATGGAGTTATGCAATTTGACTCAACAAATCTCCAATTCCTGCACAAATGTACAAAGGGTATGTATATCGGGATTTTCACTGAAGCATTTTTCCGAATAGTGGAAAATTGAAAATTACCTGAATAGTCATGAATAAGGAATTAGATAAATTATGGAAATGCCATACATTAAAACTGTTAAAAAACAGATATATAAACCCATATGTAGCGACGTGGAAAGATGTCCAGAATATACTGCATGAAAAACAAGAAGTCGATAAGTGTATACAATATGATTTCATATTTGAAAAGCTAAAGCACATGTATACATATATGTATATTTTTAAAGGCCTGAGTTTAAGAACTGACTTGTTATTTGCTTTTTCACTTGATAGTAACCTCTCTGAATCAACTTTCTTGTGCCTAAAACTAGAGTATTATATACATACCTGTTACACATGTAAAGAGGTTTAAAAGACGAAATGTATGTAAAAGCTGTCTGTAAACAGCCATACACTGTACAAGTACATGCTAGTCAAATGTCATTAAACATAGATGACTTCCATAATCTACAGTATAATAGAACTTTAATTTTTTGAACTTGATTTAATAACATAATGCTTATTACCTTTTTCGTCTGCATGAGTAAGTCTTAAGTTTTTAGGGTGAAAGACCCCTGTGGAAATCCTATGGATGTCTTAAACCCCCTTCCCCAAGCCAAATGCATACCTGTACCCGATCTCACATACAACTTTAAGGGTTTCATAGACACTTCTTCAAAATGAAAAACCAATTCCATTGATTTCTGCTGTTAACCCTACTCTTCAAGGTGCATCAAGAAGAGATAAACAGGGACTTCCCTGGTGGTCCAATGGCTAAGATGCCACCCTCCCAATGCAGGGGCCCGGGGTTCCATCCCTGGTCAGGGAACTAGATCCCACGTGCTGCAACCGAGACCTGGTTCAGCCAAATAAGTTTTTTAAAAAGAGGAAATCATTTCAGTGCTGTTACGGGTTGACTTGTGTCCCCACTGAAGAGATGTTACAGTTCTGGCCCTCGGTGCTTGTGAATGCGATCTTTCTGGAAATACAACCTTTGCAAATGTACTTATTAATAAATTATGATGACACCATTAGGGTGGGCCCTGATCCAAAATGACTGGTGTCCTTGTGAGAAGAAGAGAGACACTGATACACAGACCGTGAGCACAGTGCTGCGGCTGCAATTGGAGGGACCCCAGGATTGCCAGCAAAGCCCCCAAAGTAGGAAGAGGCAGGAAGAATCCTTCCCTACTAGTTTCAGAAAGAGCAGACCCTGTCTGTACCTCAGGTTCAGACACTGAACTTCCACATCTATGAGACAGCAAATGTTTTAAGTCACCCGATTTGTGGTTCTTTGCCACATTTAGCCCTAAGGAATGAATACAGATGCTATAGGTAATCAGAATATCTAAAAACAAGTGAATTTTAGATCTGAGAAACATGCTAGTTGGGGAAAAAAAGGTTAAGTTGTCATTATTGACACATGATATTTGTTCGGAACATGCAAGAAAAGAAATGAAAATGGACTTCCCCGGTGGGCCAGTGGCTAAGACTCCATGCTTCCAATGCAGGAGGCCCAGGTTCGATCCCTGCTCGGGAAGCCAGGGCTTCCCCA